CACAAGGATAGCTGCACATGGCAGAAACATGTGTTTCCACAGAGGCACATGAACACTCTCTCCTTTCTTCTACACCAGGGGAGAGCGCAGAAGCACATTTCAAGAACAATTCCAGGTTTTGAAGAAACTGAGGTCACAAAACTCTTGTCTTATTTTCTTGGAGTTTTTTCATAAACATTCAGAATTCTCACAGGACTCAATTTTTGGACTGTTTTATGATATTTCCTTAGAGTAGAATAATTTTGTTCATAGCTAAACAGTAATATTATGCTTACATATTTTCTTAAGGACATACTACAGTTGAGTATAATCCATGCTGGAACTTTCATTTTCTTCTGGTCCGTGGTGCCAGTCAGTTTTAGAGTCTGAGGCCCATTACTATCTCTGGAGTTACATCTCACAGCATTGTTCTCACACAAAGTTCACAGTATTAGACTAAGTTGTCATTCTCACAAAGCGACAGCTTCTTCTAGGGGAGATGGATTCACTATGGGGCTTGTTAAAAGTTTTTTGAGACTTAGGTTGAGAGTAGGGTAGAATGAATAAATGGTTGTTATAGGTATTGAAATACAAATTTCCTTTTAGGAATGTTTAGTATTAAAAATAAATTTCTTTGAGCAATTTGGGTCAAGGATGTAAGACCTTCCTTTTAAAATACTTGGTCATTTACAGCATTATAAAGATGGTAGACTGCATTAACTATTACTGCACAGATGTACAATTGCCTGGCATTAATTCAACATTTTCAGTGATTTTAATTCTGTTGTTTATTTCTTAAAATTATTTGGTGCTCTGCTATTGGGGACCATACACACATACATATGACTATCGTTTTGTTTTTGAGTTGACTCCTTTATCATCTACTGACTACTTATTTCCTCAGACTGACTGGTCTGAGTATATGGAGGAATGAGCTAGGGTCACCTCATCAGTCTACGGCCACACCACCCTGAACACCGTGGATCTTGTCTGAGCTCTGAAGCAGGGCAGGGTGAGCTAGTCAGTACCTGTTTTGCTGCTATGCCCCTAAACTCAAGCTCCAGAACTTTCTACAATACTCATATATAAACGTAGTGTAGTGAGCACTATTATTAGGTTCCTTAAAAAACTTTACACATCTTGTCTATAAGCTTTAAATTAATGCTGAGGCTGAAATGCTGTTTTCACTTTATAATTGAACAAATGGTGACTTGAAGAGGCTAAATACATGCCCAAATTAACTCAGCTGTAAGAAACCCAGTATAGCACTGAAGCGAGGCTCACAAAACCCACATTTTACATACTATCCTCTGACAGCTGGCATCCTAACCTGACCTTAGCATGAACTAAGGTGGTGATTAATTACAGAAGAGTAGGGGATGCAGGAGAAGGATAACAGGCAGGGCTAACCAAGGCCAGCAGAGCAGATTTGTTAGCACTCCTGGGGATGAAGGAGCCAGGGGTTCATGTGCTCTGTGGGGAGAGGCCATCCAGAGAATCGCTGTTTTCAGAAGAGTGACACGGCTGGCCTGAGGCCACTGTCCAGACGGATCTAGGAGGACAGACACCTGCTTCCTTCCCAACCCATAGCTTATCAGAGCTCCCCACTTGATGAACAACTAAGATTTAGAACTCAGAGAGATTTTCCTTTGTGGGCTGGAAAGAAGTGTGAGGAAGGGTAGAGGACTGATCTGCACTGGGCAGTGGAGTGAAGAGAAAACATTCAGCACAAGCAGAGACTCACAGTGGAATTCCAATTCCGTAGGCTGACACGCATTTAAGTCAGTGCATATGGGGGAAGCATCTGTACTGCTGTACAGATCTGGGCAGCAGAGGGAAATATGAAAGTGTACAAATAAGGATCTGAAACTGTCTTTGACCTTTGATAAGAAACATCGTTAAAGACAGATCTTTATCCTAATCTAAAACTGACACAAATGAGTTACAGTTGTTGGACAGAAGCATTAGTAGCTATGCATATAATCTGTTCAGTCATTATTGTCTATAAAGGAGCCGGCAAGTAGGATGTAAAGAGAAAAAGTAATTGACAGTGCTTGACTTCTAATAAGCATGACACTAATTTAGAACACGATGGCTGAGTACTGTTAAATCCTATCCTGCATGTGAACATTCATTTTCTGTATTTCTTTCACATTTTGAACTTACCTTTATTGACTTGTACATAATAATAGATTTTAAGTTAATGACTTAATGAAATAAATAATCTATGTATTTACATAAATACATAGATAAAATGACATATTAATATGATTAGGGTGTTTGGAAAAAGTTGGCAGTTTAAAGAGTTTTAACCTCTAAGGTCTACTTATTAGAAACTTTCTTTAAGTGCTGAATGTTTTAGGAAAATAGAGCCATAACCTGGTAAAGTTTATTTCAGGTTTTGGTTTCATGCACTGTGTGGTGTGTGCAGTCAGAAGAAGCCCATTTTAAACCAGGACACAGGGCAGCCTTCAGCCTCCAAAGTCTCCGGAGCTAAGCTAATTAATGGCAAAGCTTACATTGTCATCCAGCTACCATGGCTATGGGCAGCACATTAGGTAAACTGGATCCAGTTTCCGCATGTTTGAAATGGGCAGATTCTCCCTTGTTTCGGCTGCTTTTCCTGCTGTTGTGATAAAAAGCCTTGACAGAATCAATGAAGGAAGAAATGAAGGAATGAAGAAAGGGTTTGGATTTTGGCTCACCACAGTTCCAGGGTGTAGAGTCTATCATGCCCAGGTGGCAGCTAGTCACATGTGTCAAAACAGACAGCAGTTCATGCAGCACGCTCAGCTTCCGTTCTCCACTTACATTCCTTTCTCCACATAATTCAGGAATGGCACACAGTGGGTGGGCCTTCCCACCTCAATGAAGACAAGAAACACCGCCCTCCCCCCGCCACAGTCATGTCTAAAGGTCTGTCTTCCAGATGAATCTAGATTCTGCCAGGTTGACAATTAACTCTATCACTCTCCCTTATAGACAGTCATGAAAAACAAAAGGAGATAACACATGCAATGTACTTACCACAGAACCAATCACAGAAAGACTGGTTCATAGTTTGGATTGTCATTGTTGGGACTCTTCCCTAAGGCTGTATGTTACCTGGAGCCTAGAAGGGTGTGATTCTCCATAGTGGTATGGATGTATGGAATGATATGGCATTACTGACTAATGTAGCAGGCATCATAAAATGACATCTTACATCAAGATAATACAGCTACCATGGCTGTAATTATATACGTTGCCACTGATTTGGGATTATGGATTTAAGTTTTAAGTGACCAGATACTTACTATACTAACTTTCTTGAAAGGGTGCAGTTAGACATCCTGTTACATAATATATATTGCCACAAATTGTATGAAAGGTGTGATTTATGACATAATTAGTGACGATTCAAAATCAAGACTGGCCTTTAGTCAATGTCAAAAGTAAATACTGTCATTAGCCCTGTCCTACTAAAACAACTTTTAGATATTTTAATTATTTTTGTGTATTCATTCATTCATTTTGTGTGTGTGTGTGTGTGTGTGTGTGTGTGTGTGTGTGTGTAGTGTGAACACATACATATGCAGATTGTGGAGAACCACTTGTGGAAGTAGGGTTTCTCCGTCCACCATGTGGATCCCAGGAATTGAACTCAGCTTATCATAAGAAAGTGCCTTTACCCACTGAGTCATCTTGCCTACCAAGTTTTAGAAACTTAAAATAGCTTAAAAACTTAAAATAGTTCTCATGTGACTATGTTTTTAATAACTATATTAAAATGATTCTTATGGTTTGTCCCTTTTACAGAGACATAAACTAAATTGGATGAGAATACTTTAACCTCCATTCCTAGTTTTCTCAGTGAGGAAAGTTTGCTGACCTTTGGTCTTCCTTTTCACTCTGTCCTAGGCGCCACGGGGTTCATTTGATGGTATAGCTCTGCTTGTGTCCCCAGGGAACTAGTAACTGCTGCTCTCCTAGGAATGATTCGTCCCCACTTTGGGGAAAGGGCGTGGATAGGATGGGTTCTGTGTGGATGGGAATGTTCTCTACTGACCCTGGGATGTTGTTTGTAACCCTGCTTGGCTCTCATGTGCTGCTCTCTGATACTTTTCTTTCTCTTTCTTTATATCTCTTTCTTTGAGAGAAGATACATCTACATAGCCCTGGCACTTGCTACACTTGCTATGCAGACCAGACTGGCCTTGAACTCAGAGATCCATTTGCCCCTGCCTCCTGAGTGTTGGCATTAAAGGTGTGAAATGCCACACCAGGCTCCACTTTCTCTTTTTTTTCTTCCTCTCTCCCTACTTCCCTCTCTCCTTCCCTTTTTCTCTCCCTTCCTTCCTTTCATGGTGGTAATTTTTAGCAGTCATATCTATTTTTTATTTTTTTATTTTGATTAGAATATCCTCTCTAATCTGGAGAGGGAGTCCAGCTTTTTGTTTCACACATCTGAAACAGACACTCAACCCTTGAGTTTCTAGGTAAACAAATCTTACCAAATCCTGACAAATGCCACCCAGGCAGCTTGCAGAGCCTATGTCTGGTCCTGATTCTCGGACAGGAGAAATTCAGTTTATATTTTTGAAATTTCAAAAAGTAGCTAGAAAAAAAATCCCTGGAAACCTATGCTGTCATATTAACTTTCATTATAACAAAATAATGGAGGTACCTAACTTTATAAAGAAGGAGGCTTAATTAGCTCACAGTTGCAAAGAGAGGAAGCCCAGAGGCCTGCAGTCAGTGCCCATAGTGGATGGCAGTAACGCATGTGGAGGAAGAGAGCATATGTTGGCGTCAGAAGTCAGTGACTCAGCCCTACAGTCCCTTACAGAGGCAAACCTCCACTGACCACAGGACTGCCCGCTAGGACCTGCCTCTTAAAGGCCACACCTTTCAGTATCATCAGACTTAAGACTAAGCTCGTGATACAGACCTCTGACAAACGACATCAGCAGTTACCATCAGGGTTTCCTAAGCCTTCTGCTGTTTATCCTGGGGGACAGGACAGCCCTGAGTGCACTTACCTCGGCTGTGTGCTTGGCCACATGCCCCACGATCACAATGACCTTCCCCTTGAAGTTCTGAAGCATCGTGGTGTAAGGGCCTTGGCTGAGCTCTCCCTCCGCTGTGAAAGCAGCGCTGAACGGGATGTTGATGCTGCCTGCAATGTGACCTCGGAGAAAGCTGACGAGGGAGTTAGGGAATGCCACTTTTTTCTTTTACTTTCTTTTTTATTTTTATTTTTTTATTTTTTGAGTCTTGATTGTCTGAGAGAAACAGAGGTAACTCATTCCTAGACAACAGTACTAAACATTTCCATGTTCACCCGAGTATTTTATCTAAGCAAAATAAGATAGATACTCTACGGAGGAAGAAAATTAAATTTGAAGCTGAAAAGAAAAAGGAAAAGCAGCTTAAGCTGTAATTATCAGTGGAAACTGAGAGTGACCCTGACCCAGTGAAGCCACAGTCACCGCTGGCTGCAGTCTGTGGACCATCCAGTCCAAAAGTACAACCAGAGTTTTGTTTTGTTTTTAAAGTAAATGCACCGGCAAGTGAACTGTCTCAGGGCAAATTTGATACTGAAAATACTTGATGCTAAGTTAAACTCCATTGGGAACTGTGAGAGGTCATCAGCCCCAGCTGGAAACTGTTCTGCTGCAGGTTAATGTGTCCAGTGAACTCAGCCAACATACCCATTATTCTGACTTTATAACCTCCTAAGGGAGCCATGTCTGATGGTTCTTATACTTTAGAAGAATTCTGATGGTCTAATTGACTATTATTGTTAGTTTAGAAAGTAAAACCATCCACTAACCTACAATATTTAGAAATGACATAAGATCTTAAAAACCCATATATGGTTTACAAAGTAATTAAAAGTACAAGTGGACTAGTAAAAATAGAACTTTGGAAATTAAGATATGGCTCAACCGTAAAGGAGATGTATGAGTTGCTGTGGCAGACTGCATCCACCTGGGAGGACAGGGAAGGGTTTTCACTGATGAAGTGATGGCAAGGTCAAGTTCTGAAGAATTATAGTTAAGACAAAGGAATAGAATGGAGGAGGGGATGCAAAGTTTGGGCAGTGGGGAAGCGTATGCCCAATTAAGGGCAAGGAAGGACAAAATGCTGTGAACAATTTAGGACATGAGATAAAAAGGGAGGTGGAGGCTCAGCTTGCCTGGTGTTGTTTATGATAATGATCTTTATTCAGCTAATACGGAAAGTCGAAGTATTATAAGCAGAAAAACAGCACACTGGGTTTGTATATTGGGCACCACTGTGGGAAAAGCACAGAGGAAAGTGACGATCATCCAGTCACACTGCGCCTCTCTTCTCGGCTGGCCCGAATCAGTTGCCAGAAAGAGTTTTTGTTCCTCAGCGAGCACTTCTGGCCTGTGAACAGCTTTACTTTTAGTGAATTTACAGCAGCAGAAGCAATGCAAATCTATCCCAGTCAGGTGCTGGGACAGACATGCTCATACAGCCCACCTGCTCCTTCCTTTTTGTCTGCACAGCCTCACACTGCCCCTGGTGAAAGCATGACCCTTGGCCATGGTGTTTGTATTAGACAATCCTACCACACCGTGCCTTGTCTTGTGGAGAGGAGGATTTGGAAGGTAGAGCTAGGTACTTGATATACACTGGGTCAATCTTATTTTCTCTCTCGAAAATGAGAAACAAACAAACAAACAAAAAACAAAAAAACAATGCTTACATGTGTTCTTGAACATAAAATCCAATTTGAATGCCTCTATATATAATATTAACCACATAACAAAAAAATCATAATCCCCTGCTCTAAAAGTAAAACTGCTTAAAGTTATATTATGTGAATACCTGGTTTGAATATAAATATCAATAACATTATCTGAAATTACAGATACATCTGGGGAATTTCTATATGCTACTTAGTATGTACTTTTAAAGTAGATTTGTCTATACTGCCTTCCATCACTAAAAGCATGTCACTAACTTGCTATTTTTCCAGAATTTTCTGTTAGTTATGCTTTATGGTTTAATTTTTATAAAGTGGAGATTAAGTGTCAACATGCTTGACAAAATGATGAAAATAAGAGTTTTGGAGAGGAGGACAGTTCTGTCTAAAGCCCCGCCCCACACACTTCAAGTCTTCCCATTGTACTTGGAAGCAAAAGCATCCAGAAGCAGAGCCTTAGACCACAGCTGCCCCAGCAGTGCAGTCCTGGAAACTGTCTAAGCACACCCTTCCCAGAACACTCTTTGTCAAGAAGCGGAGACTGAGTAAGCACAGATGCTTGGACACACAAGGCTGGCAGCCTCTACATCTTCCATCCCTAACTGCATTACTAGCAAACAACACAGGAGAAGAGCCTGGCCTAGTTAGAGATCAGTGCATTTACAACAAGCAGTCTTTTAGTACGCTTGACATGGAAGAAAACAATTTTAGTTACTTAAGGACCTTTTGTCCTTGGCAATTATGTTTCATTGCTCACAGCACAAATCCATACAGGGCTGACATTAAGATGAAGTAGAGGGAGTTCCTCCATTCCCTCAGGCAGACACTCACTGCCTGACCACAGGCTACACTGCCAGAGACCAGGTAGGCTGCCTACCTGTGTACCTCCTCTACTTGGTGCACCCCCAAATGATCCCCAACCTCTCCTCCTTTCTTACTGTGTTTGAATCCTCAACTCTGGAGGTGACTCCTTGCTGGACCAGAGGCCACACCTACAGTCAGAACTTCAGGTAAGCCACCTGCCCTTAGACCTCCTTCACTCTCTTGATGCCCCACAGCCTTGACTCTATTCCCAAGCCTTTCTTCCCACCTTTTCCCTATATCCCAGCTGCCAATTCAGGTGGAGACTCCCTGCTTGAATGGGGGCCATGCAGGCCACCAGCACTCCAGGTAGTCTACCCACCCACAAACCTCCTCCTCTCTCTCAGTGCCTTCTCCCAACTGACATTGTTCCCAGTCTTCCCTCTTTGTGGCTGTATTCTAGCCCCCAACTCAGGCATAGAACCCTGCTCAACCATAGGCCACACAGGCCAGAGAGGAAACAGAAACTAAGGAACAAAACACCCATACAACAAAGACAAACTCAGAAATCAGCACAGACACACAATCACCCCAAATCCAGATGCCGAGATGCCAGAGTAAAAACACAATCAACAATAGCCAGGACAATATGGTACCAACAGTGCCCAGCTATTCTACTACAATAAGCCCTGAATAGTCCACACAGGTGAAGCACAAGATAAAGAAAGACCTTAACCAACTTAATGAAGATGATAAAGGTCTTAAAGAAGAAGTGAGTCCCTGAAATAAATCAAGGAAAAGACAAACAAAAATTTGGAGGAAATGAGATGAGTAAATTCCTTAAAGAAAGCCAAGAAAAAAATAAACAGTTGAAGGAAATGAATAAAGCTGTTCAAGATCTGAAAATAGGAATAGAAGCACAAAAGAAAGCACAAACAGAAATGAAAAATCTAGGTAAGTGAACAGGAACTACAGAGGCAAGCTTCACCAACAGAATACAAGAGATGAAAGAGAGAATCTCAGGTACTGAAGACATAATAAAAGAAATATATATACGGGTCAAAGAAAATGTTAAATCTAAAAAATTCCTGATATAAAACATTCAGGAAATCTGGGATACTATGAAAAAATATAAGATTATAAGAACAGCAAACACCCCAGTTTAAAGGCTTAGGGAATATTTTCAATAAAATCATAGAAGAAAAATTTCCTAACTTAAACGTTAAAAAGCCTACAAGTGTTTAAGAAGCATACAGAACACAAAGGAAATTGTACCAAAAGAGAAGTTCCCAGGTCACATAATAATCAAAGCACTGAACATACAGATCAAAAAAAGAATATTAAAAGCTCCAAGGGGAAAAAAAGAAGTAACAGAGAAAGGTAGACCTATCAGAATTACACTCAACTTCTCAGTGGAGACTCTAAAAGCCAGAAGAACCTGGGCAGATGTTCTGTAGAGTCTAAGAGATCATAGATGCCAGCCCAGGTTAATATTCTCAACAAAACTTTTAATCACCATAAATAGAGAAAGCAATATATTCCACGATAAAGTCAAATTTAAATAACACCTATCAAATCCAGCCCTACACTGCATCAAAATCAGGAAACGGTGTGGGGAATGTTGGTGCTCAGCTACTGCTTTCTTTTTGATACAGCCCAGGGTATGGTACAACATCCTTTCAGTGTGCCTCTTTCCCCTCAGTTTACCTCATCAATGTAACCCCACACAGGCAGGCCTAGAGACTAAATAATCTTCTGGAGATGTGTCTGGACCTGTCTCTGAGGTGATTCTGGATAAGGTGACAATATTACCACATTGAGCATATTTTATTTGTGAAGAACATATAAAACATATACTGCTTAAACAGAAAGATTAGTGTCAAATAGAAGGGGGTATCTGGCATTTGGTGACTTAGGTTAGCAAAGCCAACTCTGATCATACCTGAACTAACTCTGGCAAGTAGAGGAACAACTACAGTGAGTGTGCTGAGATGTGAGTCTTTCTGCTTTAGACACTCTGGTTTCCCTAACTGTTCTGCTGTGGAAGATGCATTTGCACAGGATCCTTTTAGCAAGGTGGTCCTGGAGATGAACATACAACACTACAGACTTCTGTATGTGTAGTGATATTTCATTTGTATTTTAATAAATAAAGCTTGCCTGAAGACCAGAACACGAAACAGCCACACTAGTCAGCCATGCAGGCCAGGCAGTGGTGGCGCACACATTTTATCCCAGCAGCCACACTAGTTAGCCATAGTGGTCGGGCAGTGGTGGTGCATGCCTTTAATTCTGACACTAGAGAGGAATATAAGGTGTGATGAGACAGGAACTTATTCTCTTTCAGTCTGAAGATTTCATGGAGGTAAGAACTCTCCAGTGACTGGCTGTTTTGCTTTCTGATCTTCAGGTTGAACCCCAATATCGGTCTCTGGGTTTTTATTATTCATGCTACATGTATGTACTTTGGAGATAAATGGGATGCCACTGCTTTCCTAATATAGGCAAAAACCTATATTTTCTGCATTCAATTTTTAAGTTTAAAAATGCCACTACAGGAGAGAAATCTCATAGATATGGTGAAAGTGATTTTCACAATCAAGGATGTGTTATAATGAGTGTCCTCCCCACAGTCAGGTACAGTGAGTGTCCTCCCCACGGT